AAGTCGGTCAAGGAAGCCATGACGCCTATCGACGAGGTTTTTATGCTGCCTATCGAGGCAAAGCTCGACTATGAGACTCTTGGACAAGTCGTCCGCTCTGGTCATTCCCGTATCCCCGTCTATCAGATGGTCGAAGTCCCCGATATCAACTTTGCTGTTCCCTCTGTCGGTCCCGCCAAGACCAAGATGGTCAAAAAGGTCATGGGCAGTTTGCTCGTCAAGAGCTGTGTCTTGCTCGATCCCGAAGACGCTACTCCTCTCGCTTCCATCCCTATCAACACCATCCCTACTATCCCCTTCGACGAGCCTCTTACCAACATGCTCAATGTCTTCCAAGAAGGTCGCTCGCATATGGCTATCGTCTCGCGCCGCGCCAAAAGGGTCGAGCCGGAGATTGAGGACGCCCAGTCAGTCATGACTGCCGCTGCCGGTGGTCTGAGGGAGAAGTTTATGCGAAAGATTGGTATGGGCGGTTCCGACTCGGAGTCTTCCGACGACGAAGTCGATGTGGAGAAGGGCGAGAAGAAGAAGAAGAGGCGGATGAGCAAGAACAAGAAGAGACGTGGAAGTGGCAGCTCTACCGATGGAACTGCCGCCAGCCCTACTTCTGAAACCGCCCCCGCTACCGAAGCTTCCGAGATCAAGCGAAAGGCACAGGACGAAGAGCTCAAGAAGCAAAAGTCTCGCGAGGGCAAGGAGAAGAAGGGCTCGTTGGTGCAGGCGGCCAAGTTGACTCAGCTTGAGCAGACTGTGCCGGCTGATGCTCAGATGTCGAACCAGGCGGTGGAAAAGTTCTTTGATGGGTTGGAGGGTGCGCCTTTGGGTATCATTACGCTCGAGGATGTGTTGGAGGAGCTCATCGGTGAAGAGATTTACGACGAGTGAGTCTTTTTGCTTCATTTGTTGATCAATGCTGATATTGGGTAGGTACGACCAACACGGCGCTCCCCTCTCTGCCGCTTCGGCCTTTGTCCCCCGTGAAGCCATGCTCGCCGCTCGCAAAGCGACTCTTGCCCGTCAACAACTCGCCGTCGCCCAGTCTACCCCTCTCCCTCCTACCAACGACGCCGACATTGAAGCCGCCGCGCCAGCTCCCAAGGGTCGGGTCATGGGCAAGCTTCCGGCGCTGAGCAAGTTTTCGTTGAAGAAGCCGATGAGTCAGCCAGGACGGGCGAGGACTTTGGATGTTACCTCTACCCCCAGTGGTACTCCGCCGCCTTCTGCTGGAGGCGTGGTAGCTACGTCCGCGGAAGAAAAGGCGACGTTTGCAAGGGGCACTGTCGCAAGTCCCGCCGAGATTGAGGACAAGCCTGCTCGAAGGTCGTCTGCTCCATTCGACACCGCCGAAACCGCTACCGCCGTACCCGCGCGACTCCTCCCTGGTTCCATCACCGCCACCACCCCGGCTCCTCAGCCCAAGCTCCTCAACGAAGCGTTGCTGATTGAGCGAGAGAGGAGGAGGTTGGGCGCGGCTTCGCAGCCGACGGCGCATAGGAGTGTGAGTGCTGGGCCCGGGGGGCTGAGGCAGGCGACGCCGCCTATGGCGGGTGAGGCGAGGTTGGCTCCGCCTGTCTCTGGTGCGGGTGCTTCTACTTCTGGACAAGGGGTCGTCTCTCCCCAGCCGCAGTATGCGGGGAAGAAGGTGCCCAAGTTTAAGAGTGTGCCTACGCCCATTGTGACTCCGCCTATCGCCGAGAAGAAGAGGTCCGATAAGGAGTGATTTTTGTTGTATGATATATAGGGCTTAGTCTGTCTATATTAGTAGCATCATTGGCGATAACATATGCATATACGTACACGATACTTGACGCCTTGATCACTATTTTTCGTTCAGTTTGGGATGTGGTATCATCAAGCTTCGTCGAGTGTTCTTAAGAGTCTCGAGTGTTCAGCGAAGTCCAAGACTAGATGCATTTATGATATGATGGTGATACAATTGTAGATGCGAATTCCCCAAGACGACGACGCCTCTATACGACGCCGCTCAAAATTCCCTTCCAATCCTCGTTCAACCCCTCCCTCACTTTCCACCCCTCCCCACTCTTCCACCCCTCCTCCTCCCTGCCCTCCTCCTTCAACCACTCCCCAACCATCGCCTCTTCCCCTTCCTCTGGCATATCGAGAATATCAACTCTGCCTTTACCTTCCAAGGCGAGGGCGGCCCAGCCGACGACGATCATGCCTGGTGGGCGCTCGTCGAGCTCGGCGAGGGCGGGGGCGATATGGGAGAGGGTGGAGAGGGTTAGGCGCTGGTCGGGGGAAGAGGCGCGTTCGATGATGGCGATGGGCAAGTAAGAGGGGAAGGGGGGGCCGTCGCGGCCGGGGGAGTCGGGGGAGAGGAGGGTATCGACGATTTGCTGGATCCTCGCGACGCCCATTAGCAGCACGAGGGTCCGGCTCCGGACGTAGCCTGGGAGTTGGACGGCGCGGCCTTGGCGGCCGACGCCGGTACAGAGGATGAGGGACTCGGCGACACCGCGTTGGGTGACGGGGATGTTCATCATGAGCGGGGCGGCGAGGGCGGAGGATATGCCGGGTATGACTGTCGACTCGAACCCGTGTTTCCTGAAAAACAGGACCTCCTCCCCTCCCCGCCCGTAGACGAATGGATCACCCTGCTTCAGCCTAACCACCGTCTCCCCCCTGAGGGCGCCCTCGAGCGCGAGCTGCATCATCTCATTCTGCGCGCCCTCGGCGTTGCCCGGAAACTTTTTGGCGACGTGTACTTTGACGGAGGGGGGGATGAGGGCGAGGATCTGGGAGGGGACGAGTTTGTCGGAGAGGATGAGGGTGGAGGTGGTTAGGGCGTGGTGGGCGGAGAGCGTGAGGAGGGAGGGGTGGCCGGGGCCAGAGCCTACGAGGAGGATACGGCCTTTCTTCGCAGGCTGCTTTTCCTCTCCTGCAACTTCTTGACTTGGGGGAAGTTTGTCGGAAGGGAGGTGGTGCGGCAGTTCACCGCCATAATCTTTCTCACCCCAGATCTCCAACGCTTTATCCATCTCATCCTCCGACATTCGCGCGAGGTGCTCGAAAGAGTAGTATTCGCTCATCTGGTATACCCAGCGCATCCTTCTGAGCTGCTGCTCCGACTCTGAAAGGAGCTCTCTGGGGAAGGGGGCGGAGGAGGAGGAGTGGATGGAGGAGGCGGGGGAGAGGGAGCGGGTGGGTATTTGCGGGACGGGCGAGTTTAGGGGGCCTTCTTGGTTCTCCAACGAAGGCAGATCAAGGGGGCGTTTCGAAAACGCTTTCGCCTTCTCCCTCAACCTCCCCACATTATCCACCGCCCTCCCAACCTCCTGCCCAAGACTACTAACCACCTCCCGCCTTATCCTGCCCGACATCCTGCACCCAAGGCCGCCGGACGAGACAGAGATGGTGAGGGCGGAGGGGGTGGAGGGGTGGTGGGAGGGGAAGCGGTGGGTGGAGGGGAAGGTGTAGGTGGAGAGGGCGGGGGAGTCGGAGGTGTTTAGAGGGATGTGGAGGGAGAGGCAGGCGGTGTGGATTTGGGAGGTGATTGAAGATGAAGCAGAGGGGGTGGAAGGGGAGATGAGGGTGGAAGTGACGCAAGCCAAAGCCACATCCTTCTCCTCCAGATACTCTCTCCACGCCCTCTCCGTCCCCAGCTCTTTCCTCTCATACGCCACCTTGCCACCCTCCACCAACGCCTGAACCTCTTTCGCACAGTCGGCGAGGGGAAGGGGGGAGGTGATGTGGATGAGGGCACCGGCGGAGAGGAAGGTGGTGGCGCGGGAGGCGGCGAGTTTGTTGGAGCCGATGATGAGGGTGGGGAGGTTGTGGGGGTGGAATGTGAGGGGGAGAGTGTGGGTTGGGTTTGGTTCTTGTACTTGAGTGGGAGAGGGCTTCGTTTTCTCGGACAACCCGGCAGGGGTGGGGACAAGAAGGGAAGGAGAAGGGGCAGAAGGGTGATGGGCGATGGAGTCGCGTTGGAGGGCAGAGAGGATGTGGGAGCCGAGAGCGAGGGTGATGAGTCCCGGGAAGACGATCCATGAGCACTATCGAACTGTAAGCAGAGACACAAGCAAGTGTAGGTGGGAGAGACTTGCGTTAGGGATAACCCACATAAACCAGAACGTCCATCGATCGTTGTGTCCGACGTTGCACCACCCGCAAAGGTATTCTACCCCCCATAGTCAGCTTCAAATCCCACAATCAAAAAAAAAAAGACAAACCTTGCAAGATGTAGAGGACAGTCTTGGACCACGTCATGAGCGCTGAAGCGAACCCGACGAGCAGGGCGGAAGAGTGGTATGGCGCGGAGGAGTGGCGGGGGGAGGAGTGGCGGAGGTAGAGGTAGATGACGGCGAGGGTGATTTCGAGCGAGTTCAGCATGGCTAGAGGATAGTCAGCAGGGGTTCCTTGGGAGAAGGGGAGAGGGGCGTACCTTGGGCAGCGGTGAAGCCGTCGCCTTCGTTGTAGGCTTTCCAGCCGTAGATGTGGTCGATCTGCGACGGGTCAGTGATGATCAGGTGGGGAGCGATATGACCAACCTCGCCGTAGTTGTTGTCGCTGTACAAGAGTTAGCTTGGGAGAAGACAAGCTGGAGGGGACTTACCTGTACGGCTTCCATATCCAGGCGAGGTCGCCGCCTGCAAAGCTCCTAGGGCGACAGAGGCAGTAGCCGGCATCTGTGTAGGTTAGCTATGCACAAGCCCCGAGCTGAGTACTTACCCCATGCAACGACTATGGAGGCTGCGGCCATCCAGAAGGATATCCAGTTCGAGGGGGGCATCGTGCGGTCGATAAAGAAGGAGAGATGGGATATGGCCTGTTTTTGCTTGGTGGACGCGAATCCGAAATTTCTGATCACGCAAACCCGGCAACCCGAGCGAGTGTCCGAATACCACTGTATTTGGAATATATTTGCTTCCGCTGATCTCCTAGGAACGGGATCTAATCTGATCGGGCACGTGTATGCTTGTTGCTTTTTCGACGCGTCTTTAATTGACTTTTCCCATCGCGCATTAAAAGTAGATGGCAGCATGGCCCACTACCAGCAGCTCGCCACCTCCCCCTCCCACGCAGACGCCCAAAAGCAGTACTTCCCGCCCCCCAAGCCCCACCCCGTCCGCCACCGCCTCCGCCTCCTCCTTCCCCTCCTCCCCATCGCCGCCCTCTCCCTCATCGCCCTCGCCCTCCTCCCCTCTTCCACCGACCTCCTCTCCCCCCAGACCCTCGCGCCCCATCCCTCAGAGAACGAGCACTTCTTCACAGGCGATATATGGGCGCACAACGACCTCGTCGCCGCCAAGCTCGAGCGGTGCGCGTCTCTCGGCTTGCTCCGCAACACTTCCCGGCCTTTACTACCGCACCAGCGCCTCAGCGACGAGGAAGAGCTGGAATTGCAGAGGGAGGGGTGCGGGACGAATGAGACGACGGTGGTGATTCTTTCTTCGTTCTGGTTTGCAGAGTCGTTCCAGGGGCATGCACCGACGGGCGAGACGGTATATGCGCAGAGCATCATGTCGTCCCTCAATGCGTTGGGGTATTCGTACTTTTTCTCGTCGTTGGGGTGGTACAACTCGGATATGCGCAAGACGACCGAGCTGTGGCACAAGTATGGGGGGAATGTGAGGATGGTGATTTCTGATCCGGGGCAGCTGGATACGTGCTGGAATGATGAGGGGCAGAAGTGTTTGAAGACGGAGGAGAACCCCGAGGGGATACCTGCTTGGTGCCTGCTCGCTTTCTGGTACTGGGACACGTAAGCCTCCTTCTCTTTTTCTTCTTCTTCTACCAAAGCTAAGCAAGAAGCAGCCCCGGAAACCCCCTCGGCCCCAAATTTACATTGTCACCATCACCCCTCAACGACAACATTTTCCTTTCCTACTCTATCGAACCCACCTGCCTCCGCCTCCCCTTCATTCCCCACTCCTCCCGTTCGAAACCCCCACAAGCATACCTCCTAGCCAAACAGATCAACTACCTCTCCTCTTTCTCCCATAACGACCGTGACCCGTACGCGCAATTCGCTTGGACGCTGCCCGCCCTTTCCGGCCTCCGGGAAGAGTTCAATATCAGTGTGGTGGGCGGGATGAGGAATAATAATGAGACGATGAGAGGGTTGGTGGAAGAGAGTGGAATAAGGAATCTGGGAGAGTTGGGGGTGGTGGAGTTTTATGAGCAGTTGGCGGAGAGTTTTGTGTTGGTGGGGGTAGGACAGCCGAGGATCAGTCCGAGTCCTTGGGATGCGCTTTGTATGGGCGTGCCCGTGAGTCCTTTTCTTTTCTTTTGCTTCTGATTGGGTGGGCTGATAAGGGTGTAGTTTATCAACCCGATTTTGGCGTGGGATGAAGAAGATCCGGAGAATAGGACAAAGTGGCATACTCAGCAGTGGCATATGACGCATATGGACCCGTACGTCCTTCTCCTTCCCTTCCTCCCTTTCTCGCCCCCTATCGTAACCAAAACTAACACAAAAATCAGCCCATACGTCTACCCCACCCAAGCGCACAACCTTTCAGCCCTATCCCACTCCATCCAACAAGTGTTAGAGAATCCATTGGAAGAAAGGTATATACCGGAACATATGCGGTTTGAGTGGGTGAAGGGGCGGATGGGGGAGGTGGTTGAGGGGGATTGGGAGGGGAGGGGGAGGGAGGTTTTGGATGAGTGGGTTGGGAGGGGGGAGGGGAGGGGGTTTGTTATGTAGTGGTGGCGGGCTCTTTGTATCTCGGGCTTTTTGTGATTTATTTCTTTTTCCGATTTGCCGAAGTTTATGGTTGTCTCTATTTTTCCATCATCCTTGCCTAGCCGGCCCACTCTGTCCTTCTCTTGTTCTTCCTTTTCTTGTTTCTTTGGGCTTTTTGTATATGTTTTCTTTGGGACTTTGGGACTTTGGCGGGCTTGGGTTCATGCATTTGTGTTGTATATCGAGCGCTTTTTTGGGATGGAGTACTGGGAGAATGGGTTTGGGTATGAGCAGACAGCATGGGGTGTGGTGATGACGATTTGTGGGCCGCGGCGGTCTCAAGTTGTAACACAGCAAGAAAGAGGAATGACATTGTTTATTTGAGGGATAGACTCGGCAGGAGGGGACTTGGAGGTTATCCTCCCTCGATGGTTTCGGGCGTATCTCCGTCGACAATGCCAGAGGCCTTCTATAATACTCGAGTAATTGTTTTTTTTGACTCGCTAACCGTAAGGGGTGGAATCGTGTAAAGGAGTGGCCTTCTTTTGTGTATCGACAGATGAGTAGAGAAGGTGTAGACACTGGTTAGTAGAGTATATACAGACACCAAGCGTGCGAAGGGCATCGATTTCAAGACGGCCGAATCTCAACAGTCAAGAAACGCTTCTCGTGAGTATACTATAAGCATCTCTGCACTGCTTCTCGCCGTTTCTGCTGTACGATGGAAGCTCACAAGCTCGTAGGAGACGACCTGCCGAGGGTGCCGCAGATAGCGCATCGACTATGACGAAGAGAGGATAAGGAAGTACGAGGAGGGAGGAGCCAAAGCACAGCGGCTACACAACCTCTTTTCATCGCACCGCCGGTCATTCAAATATGTATCAATCATTCAAATCATTCAAAAGAGCTTACAAAGGAAGCGTCGGTACTTGTCAAAGAGTTGATGAACTACTCGAAGAAAGGGTCGATGTTGATCCACAACAGGGTATATAAGAGTACACGGAGTTATCTGTGCAGGACCACACACCTCCATACCATATATCATTGCGACAATATGAGCAGCTCTCAACAATCTTGCAACGACACTTCCAGCCAACACACTGTATGTCCCGTTCTGTCATCCACCGCCTCATCGCGCTCTCGCTCTGACAATACCCTATTGCAGGACGGCGCAGCCGACTCTTCTGCGTCCAAGCGAGGTCGAGGTGCGCCGATGAAGTATAGTGAGTATATATTCGTGGCGAGCGAATAACAAGCAGAGGTCATTACGTTGTTTGATTGTATTGGATGACGTTATTGGTGCTAGGTATGAACGACGAGGTTATGACAATGCGACGAAAAAGTTTGACTTTCTCCCCTTTTTACAAGTCTACGGATAATTGATGGTGGTCTTACTCCTGAAATAGGTCGTGAAAGCACGAATCGACACAATGCAGGCAAAGCAGCCAGAACGCAAGATTTAGAAACCCGAATTACTCAACTCGAGGCGACGACCGACGCGACGAATGTAGAGAATGCAGAGTTGAGGAGTATTATCGCGAGTTTGCGCTCTGAAATCTGGTCGATACAAGAAGAAATGGATGGTGAGATGATGGAGGACGATGAGAACGACTGGCGTGCCTGAAGAGTGAATCATCTGTCGACATCGAGGAGGTGATCAATGTCGCCGTATGCTCTTAGTTGAATGTGATGACATATGACCCGTACCCTCGTCATCGTCATCCCATGAACCGCTACTCTTGTCTTCCGATTCTTCTCCAAGACGTCGAGTTCCACCCAACAGAAAGATGTATCAGTTGTGAGAGAGATTAAGGGGAAGTCTCATAGTTATGCTTATTGGTGCCTTCAATGTGTCTGAAGGGGCAGGTACTCTATAGTACGAAGCACTGACGACAAAGGACTCTCGGCAAGACTCTCGGGGTGCCGGTGATAAATGTTCCGCGTCACTACTTCGCTACCGGCTATCTCGGCTGCCGATACGTTCCGCAACGATGTTTCTCTTGCAGTTGTTCTGTATTTGCACTTTTCATCCCTCCATTATAATGGTAATGACTACACCCCTCCTCCCCTCAAGTATCCCTCTCCTCCCTTTGCCCCCTCCCCAAGTACTCTACCCCTTCCTCCGCACCTCCTTCCACCTGTCACAGCACCAGCTCGATACCGTTCTTGAAGCACTGCTCGGCCCCGAAGATCAAGGCGAGTATGGGGAGGTTGCTTTTGTGAAGGGGAGAATTGTTGCCGCTGTGCCTGTTGCGGATGGGGATTCCAGAGTAGGCAGATGGGCTTGTGGTGGGTGGTTTTGCGTTTGGACACGAATTTGGACTGACGCTCCGCTACAGCTGCAAGGGTCAAAGCTGTGGAGAGGGATAGCGACGCGTATAGGATGGTGGTTGAAGGTATAGTGAGTTCTCATAAGTCAATTCGATGAGTATATGCTGACTATACGCCAGGCTCGTATCTATCTACCGCGCTCCCTTCCCCCGACCTTATCAATCCTCCCCGGCTCCCCCATCACCTACTCCGACTATTCCATCCCCCTCCCATCCCCCACCTCGATCACCACCAGCCTTCTACCATACGCCAAACGCCTCCTACCATCTCAAGTCCACCAAAGACTCTCCGCTATCCCGCCCCCGCTGATGGCGGACCTGCTGGTGACGGTGCTGCAGGTGGAATGGAAGGCGAGGGTGGAGTTGCTTGGGGTACCAGATGGGGATGTGAGGGTGGAGAGGGTGAGGGATTTGATGAAGGATATGCTGTTGGAGAGGGGGATGGAAATACCGGTTGAGGAGGGTCATTCAAGGAAAGACCTCAAGCGGCTTCCTGTGGTCACGTCCTGGCCTCCTCTCGCCCAGCGAGCGTCTTCATCCACAGCAGAAGACGACGAGTTGGCCCCACTCAACCGTTTTTTCCAATCACGTCAATTCGAGCTCTCCCCCCTCGCATCATCGACCCTGGGAAGAGAGCTCAAAAGGCTCAAGGGGATAATGCCAATGTCGCCCGAGTATGGGGTCGTAAAGACGTATGTGGAGTGGTTGTTGGCGTTGCCGTGGGAGAGAGTTGATGAAGTGGATGTGATGAGCTTGGAGGCGGCGAGGAAGAAGCTGGATGAAGATCATGAGGGGCTGAGGGATGTGAAGAGGAGGGTTGTGGAGTATCTTGCTGTTTATCGGTGCGTCAGTATTCGATTGGATAGAGAGGTTGCTGACAGGTTGTAGGCTGAAACGACAATTGTTTCTGGAACAGAAGCAAGCCGCTATCAAGGAGTCGCTTAAGAGTAAAGAGAACGTCGCCTCTCCCGTCAATCCCAGCGATGAACGGAAAGTCGAGCTTCTACCCTCATCCGAACAAAGTGCTGCCTCCTCTATGCCTACTCCTACCCATACACCTGCCAATGGTCCAGCCGTAAAAGACGACAAGGACGGTCCGCCGAACGATACATACAGAGACAAGGGTCCCATCCTCCTACTCGTCGGTCCTCCCGGTGTCGGCAAGACGTACGTTCCCTCCCCTCCCCTACTCTCCCTCCCTTACTTTTCCATTGCTTTCCAAAGCTGATCTTCTCCGAAGATCTATAGCCCGCTCCATAGCCGCCGCCCTAGGCCGCAAATTCCACCGAATCTCCCTTGGCGGTGTGCGGGACGAAGCAGAGATCAGAGGTCATCGGAGGACGTATGTGGGTGCGTTGCCGGGGGCATTGGTACAGGCGATGAAGAAGGTTGGGGTGGCTAATCCAGTTATTCTTTTGGATGAGATTGATAAAAGTGAGCTCCCTTCTTTGACCCTGAAAGGATGAAGAGGGGAATGGAAGAGAAGGGAAGCTGATGAGGTGGTGGTGGTAGTGGGGACTTCGAATCATAATGGGGATCCTTCGGCGGCGTTGCTTGAAGCGCTCGATCCGGCTCAGAATTGGGCTTTCCACGACCAGTACGTCTCCTCTTTCCACCTTCGGCCCCTCAAAACTGATGTTCGCCTAGCTATCTCGGCGACGTCCCGATCGACCTCTCCCGAGTCCTCTTCATCTCCACAGCCAACGACCTCAAACCCATCTCCCACCCCCTTCTCGACAGATGCGAAATCATCCAATGCCCCGGGTACCTCCCTTCCGAGAAAATCAGCATTGCGCTGAAACATCTACTGCCTAGGCAGATTGAAGAATCGGGCTTGCCGGAGGGAGGGGTGGTGATGGGGGAGGAGGTGGTGGGGCGGTTGGTGGAGGGGTGGACGTGGGAGAGTGGGGTGAGGGGGTTGGAGAGGGGACTGGGCGGTGTTTGTAGGGGTAAGGCTGTGGAGTGGAGTGAACACCGAGAGGGGGGTGGTGAGAGGTATCAGAGGAGGGTGGAAGTAAAAGATTTGGAGAGGTATCTGGGGCCATCGGAGAATGAAGTTGAGGAGGTGGAGGAGATGAAGCCTGGAATTGTCAAGTGAGTCGTCCACGCCGGTCTACTGTCTCGTGTCTTGGTGCTAACGATTGGGTAGCGGCTTGACGTACGATTCATCTGGAAATGGTGGAGTACTCGTGCTGGAAACGGTGGCTGTCCCGGGAGGAAAGGGAGAGCTGGAAGTGACGGGTCAGTTGGGAGAAGTCTTTAGAGAGAGTGTGGGTCTTTGTCTGACCTGGGTTAGTCTCGCTTCTCTTTTCGAGAGCCCAAGCTGATAGCGTGGATAGGTGAAAGCGCATGCGGTGGGTCTTGGAATACCGACGTCAAAGTTCAAAAGTACAGATATCCATGTCCGTCCTTCTCCCTTCTTCTATGCCCTCTTTTGATGAACCATGCGCTGATAAAGACATAGTATCATGCCCCGGCAGGCGCTATCAAGAAAGACGGTCCCTCCGCCGGTGTCGGTACCGTACTGGCGCTCGTTAGTCTTTTGACAGATAGACCAATGCCCAGGGGGACGGCGGTGACGGGGGAGATGAGTCTGAGGGGGCGGGTGTTGAGAGTTGGGGGGATTCGGGAGAAGGTTACCGGGGCTTTTAGGATGGGGATGACGAGGTGAGTCTTTCGCTTCTTCATGTCTTGGGATGTGGGTTCGCAGGATGTGCTGATGGAAATACAGGGTGATACTGCCAAGGTCGAATCAACCGGATGTGGAGAGGGATGCACCGGAAGATGTAAAGAAGGAGATCAAGTTCGATTATGTTGGGAGTATGGAAGAGGCGTTGGAGACTGTTTGGGGAAAGGGGATCTGGGCTGGGGAAGATGGAGGCGAGCGAGGGCGGGTGTTGGTAGGGGAAGGGCTGGAGGCGAGGTTGTAGAGGGGTGAAGGGTAGGTTGTATCTGTTTTGTACGAGTATGGTAGCTATGAACATGCACATGAGTGTGTTCTGACATATGCATACATTGGGTCATCGAGTGTACTGCTGCGTGAATTTGCTTCCGCAAGTCAGTGGCCGACGGCCTGCGCGGACGACGACAAGAAAAAGGATCTGTCTCCTTTCATCGCATTACCCGACAACAAGCACCCAACATAGGCGGCAGGGACACCAGATACGGATCACAATGGGGAACTGACTCGACACCCTTCGTCCCGAAATTCACGAAGAGACACGATGGCGAGGCAACGGCGTCGCGATGGCGTCGAGCGATGTTTGGCTCGTATACCCCTGTATTGTAAGCAGTTTCCCTCAAGCGATACTTGTACTAATGTGTATTATAGTCAGCTATACCATCTTGATTACGACATGGATACTCTTCATGCTGTTTATCACTCTCGGGGAGGTACTCATTCGACGCAGAGAGGTCGGACGATTTCTAGAACAGTAAGAGTTTCTTCATTCATAACGACAAATCCTGACCCGTACGATAGAATTGTCATCTATAACGGACTCTTATTTATGACCTTGCTATCCCTCTACACGACATCTCATCGCTCCCCCGGCTCTCCCGACCAGTCCCTCGCCCCGCCGCTCGCTCGACCCCCAGTTGCTCCCTCTCCCCTCCCCGATTTCAGTCCTCCCAGCTCCAATCGTCACCGAACCATCAGCCATTCTGAAGGAGATGCGGAAAATGGGGAAATTCACGAAGACGACGTACCGCTGCGATATCTCAGAAATTCAAATTGGACGTCAAAGCGGTGGGAGAAAGACAGGCCTTCGCCTCTTCCTCTGCGATCAGGCGTGCGGTATCCTCCTGATGCCCCCAAACGGTCTCCTTCTCCAACCAATTTGTCCAGTCATACAGCATCAACTGAACGTAGCGACTTCTCCCCCTTCCCATTGAGCGCCAATCCTCTATTGCCTCACTCTGCGGAAGAAACGGGCGAAGACGACAGTCAAGAACGTATCATCCACGTCACCGACGAAGCTTTGGGAGATACCGAGGAGAACACTTCTCTTCTTCCGAAGGAGAATGGGGATGTAAGAGTGAGTCTGATGGCGAAGGGTAGTAATGGGGGAGCAAGGTGGTGCAAGAAGTGCGATGGGTGGAAGCCGGATAGATGTCATCATTGTCGGCAGTGTGACCGATGCGTGCTCAAAAGTGAGTTTTCGCTTATCTGGGGAGAACCTCGAAGCTGATAGAAGCGTAGTGGATCATCATTGTCCTTGGGTGGGTTCTTGTGTCGGATATCACAATTGTGCGTCTCGTATCGTCTCATCCCTGATCGACTGTCGCGAACGTGAGATTCTCGGCTGACCATGATACAGATAAATCGTTTCTTCTCTTCATCACATACGGTACCCTCCTCGCCATCTACTCTGTCTTTGAAACAAGCTACGAGACCTATCGCTTCTTTTCCGACCCCGACGCGGCAGTCTCGCATCGCAGGCCGTCTAATAGCAACTCGACCGTGCTCGATGACGCCAAGAATGCACATATGAGTGACTGGTCTGTGAGTATAAACTCTTATCACCTGCGAGCCAAGAATATTAGCTGATCAAGATGTTGCAGAACGATATCGGCCTCTCACCGGCGGTCTTCATGATGCTCACGATTTTGGGGGTGTTTATAGGGCTATCCCTGGGCGGGTTGGCTTGTTTCCATTGGTGGCTTGCAGCGTGAGTAACAGCTCCTATTTTTTCTCCATCGACCTGTACTGGTGTGTATGCTGACATATGTGACAGGCATAACCAAACGACGCTCGAAAACATCACCCACTCATACCCCTCCGCCCTTCTCGACCTCCCCTCTCCTCACTCTCCTTCCTCTCCCTCTTCCTCCTCACCTCAACCAGGAGACCGCAATACGTCCTCCTCTCGTCAATCATACCCGGAACCGGGGCGCTGGAAGCCGGATCACATGCTTACTCGCAGAGAACGCGAGAGGCTGAGGCATGATGCGAAAGAAATCAATGTCTACGACTTGGGATGGAGGAAGAATTTAAGAAGAGTGTTCTTCGGGGAGGAAGAGGTTGGGGTGTGGGGTATTTTGGCGGCTTTGTGGCCTAGGGCGGGTAGATCTAGGTAAGTCCTCACCTTATACTCTTGGAGAGATCAAAAAGAGGGAGAGGAGCTGATGAGGAGTGCTGATGAGGAGTGATAGAGATGCAAGAGCTGGACATTACTTTGAATTTGACGCGAAGGCGTTTGAGAAGCTCAAGGCGGTGACGATCGAATTGAGGTATGGAGCGGTGAAGGATGAGTTGGAGGATTCGGATACGGAGGAAAGCGAAGATGAGGACGGTTGGGAAGGGGACGGAGATGGCGGAGTGGCGAGCAAGGATAGGGATGGCGGCGATCGAGTATGAGGACGGTATAGCTCAGAGAGGTGATACTCGTATTGCGAGTTGAGAGCAGCATCTGTATCTGTGCAACGTGTGCAACGATGTCTTTGGAGTATGTCCTATCAGGTAGTTAGACTGGGCCCTTTTAGCGTACGACAATTCATCACAGAACTCGTCATAACAATCTCGACTATTATGAACGATGTAAGATCAGCTAGGGATACATTATCTGAAGTATTGCTCTTTCACGGACCTGGACCGGAGAAAAGTGTTGTTACATGTGTGTGCCATTGACGGCGTTGATGTTGAACCAATTTGGAGTATCGAAGGAAGGATTCTCGAAAGTATTGGTTTTTGTATATTGTTGCTGTTGAGCAAACGTGACTGATTGAGATGTGAATGTGTTTAGCCGAGGGGTGTGGGCATGATCGAAAGCCGAGAAAGGTTTCTGGAATCGGCTAATTTGCTGGGGTAGAAAATTGTAGCTGATTTGCTGTTGGGTCTGGGTCTGTTGTGCGGGGGGAGCGGTAGACGGCTCTCTAGTCAAGCACGGGTTATACGGTCGGTTTTGAATAACGAAGTGGTTCTTTTCATCAATCAACGTGTGCTTCTGGTCGCCGTTGACAGCGACTTGCTTAGTGAGACGTCCCTCTACGCCATCTGCTTGATAACCGACGTTATATCCATGATGTGCGCAATTGAAAGGCGGGGGTACAAGCTGGTGATCGTCATCCAACACCATCGGCTCTTGGAACAGCTTTGACTGGTCGAAAGGGACGTCCAAGTTGCTTCCGTCCAATCCGAGCGGCTCGTTCCTGGTATATTGATGAGCTATTCCTTGATCCATTGCCTGCATCGGAGATGCTGATGCCGTAAAAGAGGGGGTACTGTAGCCGCTTTGGGCTGGACTTATCCATCTTGGGTCTATAGTCCCGTTGGACAATTCACTATCGCGTCGCATCCCTACGCCTGTTATATCATCATTGACACCAGACAAGCTCGTTGTAGAAAGTTGAGCAGTAGATGCTGTGAATGGAGGTTCTGCAACATAAGCCGACGAAGTACTATCTACCGAACCGAAGAATCGAGGAGTGGGAAGAGGCGTTGAGATCACTGAATTGGCAAGCGATTGCGAGTTGACATAGGGAGCGGTGAAGACGGGTCTGTCGATGGAAGAGGAGAAGGGCGTGGGTGGATCCGCTGCTGGAGTAGCAATCGACTGATCACCGGTACACGATCCGCCAATGGAAGTATTCGCCAGCGCGGCGTCGATCTGTAAACTCCCATGCCGAGGTACAGAAATCCCGCGCTGCTCCTCCATACGAGGGGCGGCAAGGGAAACCGATGGCGCAAGAAACGCTCTCCATTCGTCTATCGTACTTGGCAGTGCCCCAGGTGATGTTTGGATCGACGCGGGGGCGGAGTGGTATAGACGAGATGTCAAGGGAGGAGACATGAGAGACAAAGGGTGGTTGGATACTGCGAGGTCGGCTGGGGATTGGTTTTGGGAGTGGAACATCATTGTAGGCGGCTGGGCTTGCGGTGAGGGTGGGGCTTGGGCGATGCGATGGACTTGACCCTCAGGCATCTCGGGGATATCAGGAAGACGACTTTGGGGCATTTCTGGTTGAGATGGGGCCGAAAGACGGTGCATGGTTGTGATGGGAGCTATGGGCGTAGCCGGCTGTTCTGACTGTTCGTGGATGTTAAAAGCCGGATTGTCGTTGCTATTATTTTTGGCCCAAGCGTCTGCTCTTTTTCGTCGACCTTCGCGCATAACTTCGCGCACTTCTTTGGCCTTCGCGAGGACAGCAGGACCAGCTCGAGTACGTACGATATCGCCGTTTGCTAGGCGTCGAGTACGGACGAGCTTGGGTGGAGCTCTTCGTTTTACTGTCGACAAATCCTCGGGAGTAGAAAGGCGATGGAGGGTGGGATCTATAGACCGTTAGCTCGAGTGTTCAAGGCGTGAAATGAGCACGAACGAGCCCATACACTGGCATTGGAGACGTTGCCGCTGGCATCTTTGAATTGTCGTCCGGGGAAGAGACGAGAGAATCCGTATATCTGCATCGAACATTAGTCAACCCTAGCGCTACTGCCGAGATCGACTTACGTTTAGTTGTCTACCGAACGATGCGAGCTTGTCATGTTTGAAGAGCTTTGGAAGTACTTCTTTGGCGAGCTGTGAGGTCAGACAGGGGGGACGTAAAGTCAGCAAGCGATATGCATCATCAGTCCAGCATGTACGTACCCTATCGGGATGCGCGATGACTAGTTGTCTGCTGTCTGAAGCCCAGTATATAACTTCGGGACAAGGATGAGGGCTCAAAGCAAGGAAACTGCATCGTGTCAGCCTGCACTTCATGAAATGCTCGTCAACCTACGCGTAAAGCTTTTGGAGGAAGTTTGGTTGTCGTTGACCATTGTTGTCGCCAGCTCCTGTCATGTAGCTCGCATTTTGAGAGCCGTATATCATATCTCGTACCGTAACAATATCGAATTAGACTCTGTGTGAATCAAAGCAAGCGTCAAAGCGGTATTCCGGTGGCAAAAAAGTAGCACGATCGTCTGGTCATGTCTTACGGATCTGACAAGCGCCGCGGCGAGTCTCCCCCTTTTGTAGAAGTACCTCGAGCAAGCTTGAGGTCCTGAACCAGTGTATTCCATATTCCGATAAGCGCGCATCGAGGAGATCCCTTGATCAGGATTTCATGTTGAGCAAGACGCCAATGGAGAGTGATCTTTCCAGGCTCGCCGTGCGCGTTGTTCCGCTGGTATTCCGAATAAAGCCACAACTGGGCAAGTACGGCGCTCCGCTGGATGTCTTGATGAGTCTTCGAGGGGGAGAAGCGGAGCCACGTCCTTTCATGGTTCTGGGACCCTCTGCAAAGGTGAGGTGGGGTGTTTGAAAGGAGACGGGTGGGGGAAGATGAGATGCTAATATTCGTCGGCTGTTCGGCTCGTCAAAATCAACTCGCTAGAACAGCTATTTAGGTCCCAAAGTCAAAGATGACGCAGGCAGCAGTATGATCACACTATCGATTCATGATGTTTTCGAGATGAACCGGAGAGGAGTGAGGTCTGCAGAGTATTTCGCTTGAGATCTCGCCAATGTTGATGATTAGACGAGAGTGGGGTATGAATGGATGTTGCTTTCAGTTATGTGATCTTCATTTACACTATTATCAGTTTAGCCCGCAATCTTCTGACATCCGTTAATAGGCCATCAAGGACCAGAGACCTTTGAGAGGGCTTCACACGGCACGGTCGTTGCACGGTCGAGCACGCACATGTTGAGGGATGCGCTGGAATCTTAAATGCGTCACCACTTTGTGGCTCGGATGTTTTTGCCGTTCGCGATTCGCGGTTGTGAGTTGATTGCATGCCGCATACTGACCTTCTTTTATCTCTTCCTTATTCTTCTTTATTCCTTTTGCATGGACCTTTCCAACCTCCAGTCCACCCTCCCGCCCGATCTGGCCGACGCCCAGCGGGATATTGGCGACAAGTTCAGAGGTGAGTCGGCATTCCTGAGCGTCGGGTCCACCCTGCCGTCTATACCCAGCTGTGGGGTGTGGGGTGTACGCTCCTATCTTCGAGGCTGTACGAAGTGAGAACAGTACCTGACACCTGACTACAGCCGCTGCCGCCAGCATCGCAGCCCTCTACAAGAGCTCCTTATCGGTGACCAAGGTACGTCAATATTATTGCCGCCATGTGTGCCTGATGGGAGGTCAACTTGGCGAGTGAGTGCTTGGTGCTGACTGATGTGGTATAGCAAGGATATAATGCTGGCTACTCTCAAGCTCTGTAAGTGTAGATCTTACTGGAGAATCAGGTGTCAAGCTGACATACTCTTTAAAGAGTCGACTTGCTCTCCACTGTTCAATCTTCCATCGGCGAAGGACAAGACTCTGCTCAGGCTTTGAGTAGGCTCATGGATTGGGCTGATGCTCGACAGGTATGTGAATTGACATTCTAGATCGCTGTAGCTGATATACTTCACAGGCTGCGATATCGGCCTTTGCTGCAGACGAAGCCGAAGACACCTCTGCCCCCTCCTCCTCCCAGCCCCGCCCCCAATTTCCCCATCGACAGTCCCACCTCATCCCCAGCCGTCCAGCATCGGCACCTGCCCTCGACCGCTTGGGTGTTGGACGCCCTCCTGCTGGAAGACAAGTTTTTGGAGGAGAAGGAGATGTTACAGTGAATGGCAGGGTGGGGACGAGTCGGTTGAGAGGTGAGGGGGATGCGACCCCTTCGAGGAATGGAGCTTTGTCGACATATCAACCAACTCCTGCTCCCCTCTTATCATCTCCCCTTGATTCTCCCTCTTCGCGTTTACTGGCGCCAACGACGAAACCCTCGCGCGGTCTCCCTATACGTTTCACTTCTTCCTCATCCTCCTCCTCTTCCCTCTCCCATCAACCACAGCCTCACGCCGAAAGCTCGACGCAAACACCCCCGAACACCTTACCCTCATCGACTTTCAATCCTTCCCTCCCGCCTCTACCTGCGGCTACGAGCGCAGAATGGGCAAACATGGAGGGCGCCGAAGACGGTGCGCCAGGACAAGACTATCCTACGGGGGCGAAGCGGCCAATAGTGGAGAGTATGGATGTTGAGGAGCCTGCTGTTGCTGCTGTTCCCGTCGGTATATCTCTGGCACCGGGGACGGCTAGCGGAGGGGCGAGGACGCAGGGGAGAGCGGCAAAGAGGCGGAGTATGGGAACGGTCAAAGATGATGATGAGAAGGTTGAGAGAGGAAAGAGGGGGCGAGGTAGACATGGACACGGAGGGGGAGGAGCTGGTACAGGGCTTTGAGGTATGGAGGCCCGGGGAGTTGTCGCCGGGGAGTATAGTCATTGTTGATACCTGCATCTCAACATTTATGTCATGTAACACCATTTTGTATTCCCTTGAACGCAAGAGTTGCATACGCGGAAAAGCAAAGGCGACACAATCCGAAGCTATCAATTACAACCCACTATGCTGCCCTTCCAGCAGCGAGATCCTGTGAGAATGGCGAATCAGTTTATCGCTCAGACAAGACACAGCAAGTACGTACCTTGTACACCCTCAGAGCCTCGAGCTCGCCGATAACCCTGTCGTTCCTTTCTCCTTCTTCCGTCCTCCCGGCCCTCGTCAAATCTTCAAGACTAGGCATCCCATCCTCTCCCAAAACGCCCATACAGCCATCTTCGCTATCCTTTCCGTCGTTCCTCGCGCTCTCGATCTTGAGACCCTCTTCATTGGCGAGATGTAATAGACAGATGAAGCAGAAAGATGTAGATATGTCGGACATCTTTTGAGCGGGGTAGGTGGTTCGGAGGGAGGTGATGATGTTGATGAATGTCTGGACGGGTTCGGCTTTGTCCTTGTCGACTTCGGCGTCAGCAGCAGCGGCGTTGCCGTCTTCGTCGGTGGGAGGAGGACCGTCGGGGATGAGTGTCTTGAGACCCGACCAGATATCGTCCTTCAACCTCTTCACATCCACCCTCTTCGCCTTCTTCGCGAAATGTACCGTCTCCGGCCTCGCCCTCTTCAACTCCATCCCTTGCGTCCCTGCCAACAAGTCCTCCTCGCCGCCATCGCCGCCGGCGACAGGGATGGGTAGACCGTTCTCGTCGTATGTTATGAGGGGCTCGTCGTCGTAATCCATGATGGCGGGCAAGTCGGCACCGCCGTCGTAGCCGTCGTCGTCGTCTTGGAAGAATTGTGATTCAAAGGGAGCGGGTGCGGAGCCGAACTCTGTAGGATCAAGTCAGCTTGGGTCAATGGGAGAGCTTTGAGGGAAAGCAGAAGACAGTTAGATATCACACGGGGAAAGTGTTCGAAAAGAAGAGGGAAGAAGAGGGAACATACCATCGTTGTCGACATCGCCCTCAGCTCGCTCAGCAGCAGCATTCGCCCAAAAGTTCTCATCAATCTCGCCGTTCTCATTCACTACCATTTCATCAGCACGATCAACAGATGACACGACTCGACGTACAAGGCGCTTGCGTCCCTCCCCCGGCTCTGCGCACTCTCAAGAAGAACTTTGGCTTCAGAAACAACCTCAACAGCTGGTGACTACTAAAGTGCATGTCGTCCGGCAACAAGTACTCTTCCTTTCTCGTCTTTGCAGCGTTCTTCCCCTTGGAGCGAGATGAAGAGGGGAGGTTGAGCGAGGCTTTGGTTCCGGGGGCGAAGAGGGTTTTGGTAGAGGTAGCATCGGTGGCAGGGGAGGAGAAGTCGATGGTGAAGGGGGCTTTGGCAGCGCGGGTGGTTTTGGCGTTGGTTGATGGCGCTGTCGGATCTAGGAAGAGTGAGCGAGAATCACAGGCTGTAGAAAATGAGATCTACCCTTCCTAGAAACCTTTCGCAACTTCCAATGCTCTGCTCCTGCCCAACTCTTTCCCCCGAACCCTTGATCGAAATAGTCAAACATCCCATCTTCGTCTCCTTCTCGAAGCCCGACCACGAGCTCGTCCCGCGCCTGGCGTGTACGAGGATCGAATGTGCCTAAATGGTCGCCTTGACCCGCCAGACCGAGAGAGGCAGGTTGTGGGTTGGCAGCTCCGCCGTAACGCTTAGCAGCATCCGCATCGCCCATCATAGAAGCGTCATCGTCGAACCCTCCTTCGCCCCCACCACCACCGGCGTTGTAGTCGTCGAAACCGAAGAAGTCGTGCTCCTCCTCTCCTCCGACATCCATGGGCGCCATCGGTATGTCATTGCCGTCGTAAGCGGGATTGGGCTCGAATTGGAAAGGGGGCTCGTCGTCCTGGAATGTGTCTTTGAGGCCGAGGAGGGTGGTGAAATCGGGAGCGGAGTCGGGGTCCGATGAGAAGTGGAAAGATGAGAGGGTGTTGGAGATCTTCAAATCCTCGAGGGCGTCGATGGAAGGGATAAAATCTGAGAGACGTTAGCTTGACTCTGTAAAGCTGAAAAGTACGCACCGAGAAGCTTGTCGAGGTTGATTACATCGTCCCTGATCTCAAGCTCTACCTCCTCATCTTCTTCGTCCCCTACATCCCCAGCATCGAACACTACCCTCATCTTGTCGTTCGGACCGCCGAGGTGGTTCCATAAGAGGGACCCATGGCCGCCCTCCCCTCGTCAAAATCGGCGGAAGCCTTCTTGAAAGGGGGTCCCCCGGACTGGTTGAATTCAAACGTCCGAGTTTCTTGACTTGAAGGCTGAGCGAAGATTTGGCAGAGGTAGCTTCGGAGTGGCAAGTTCTTACAGTATAGTCAGCCATTTGATGCATGCGAATGAACAAGAGCCCAACACCTTGCGAGTAGCTTTGGGCCGCGCCTTCCTTCCTTCTTCTGCCTCCTCCGCCCGTCTCTTCCTATCTTGACGGTCCTCTGGTACGACCCCATGCCAGCTTTTACCCTCGCTTGTATACAAAACGTACCGACCTTCCCACCTTGGCAAAGACCACTCAGGAGCTTTTTCCCCGTCCTCGTAGCCCACACTATCCCACTCGCGGAAGGTCCAGAATCGTTTTACA